TTCTAACGCAAAATGTTTCATTTTAGATCTTAACTGTTCCCACCACCAGAGACGATCACCGCACAAACGCCTGTTTGACATCGCTCCGGCCGAGCAAGCTCAAAGGGGTCTGTGTAGTTAAACCGTGCGTATGCATGCATGCATGCATGGGTCGCTTGAGGCGCACTATTTGAGCTAAAATTGGGTGATCACGAACTTCCTCACTTGTTTCATTAATACGGCAGTCAAGGTGTTTAGCATTCACCCAATTTAACTGCCGTATCCTCTTTTGAATAGCGAGATCTTTTTCTTCATCTGTTGTAGTTGGTGGGCAAAATAGATTGCGATGCAAAACAGTCATCGTGAACTTCTCACAATAATCCAGCACCGACTCCTTGAGTTCTGATATAATTCCAAAATAAGAAAATATATTAGTAATTTTTCAAACTTGCTACTGCTGAATAAACATTGATTAAGATAATTCATACCTTGATTTATATTATGTGCATCCATACATTTTGAAAGTATTTGATAAAATTTTTGAACTTTTTCAGACAATTCATCAGCTGATATGTTATTAGCATCGGAGCAAACACTACGGCAAAGACCCTGGATGTACTTATTGATTAATTGTCGTAGTTCAGGGGAAAGAGAAGCCAAATGAGTAGCATAGTCTTGCTTGATCCGTTCTACTTCTGGAGATTGTTCCAACCATGGCTCAGGTAAACGTCCCGTGTCTAAAAATTATACAAATGATGTTGTTCACAAAGCCTATACTTTTTCCACTTCTGAAGAAGAAGGCTGAAATAGCACATACCTCGAATACTAGTAGATTTTCTTAAACTGCTTGCAAGTTTGCTAAATTTGTTCCTTTTCTCCTGCTGCTGTCGCTGTTGCTGCTTCTTTTCTTCAAATTTATTGAAACGCTTGGCCACTGCCAAAGAAAGGGGGCTATCAGCAGATGTCCGTGAACCACTGGAAAACAATAAACCAAAGTGAATAAATAAAACTCTTTAGATGTAAGAAAACAAAAAAGTCCACTTTTTACCTATCTCCCCTGTTTGGGCTTTTCTTTTGGTCATTTTGCTGGCGCTCCCTTTCCTTCCGATAGCAATGTGAACAATAACCATCCCACTCAGGGTTACCGAAAAAGTCACAACCACTTCTGCTTTTACATTTTAAATCTGCTTCATCAATCCGTAGTGCTGGAGATTTTTTAGTAAACATGTTGGGTGTTGATGGCTGCAATTGAAGTAAATAAAAATTAGATAACCAGAACAAATTATCTGGATGGGTGTGGTCATAAAGACATCAAAAAAATTTGGTTGCAAATGAAAATAATACATTAATTCTACCAAGTTATACAAAGAATTGTGCAGTGTTAATATTTCATGTCTCACTGCTAAACTTATTTTGAAAATAAATTTGCACCATAACCTACAAGAAGTGTCACAGAATACAACGAACTGAACTTAAACTCAATGTTTGAAAATATTCCATACCTCTGTTGCGTCCTAGTATAAGCAACTAAAGATAAAGACTGGAATGAGTCATGTTCTTACAGTACATACTGACTAGGCTGGGGCTTAGATGACAACAAAACAAGAATTTCCAGCCCTAGCAGACGGAATTTTCACAAGGAGGCACGAGGGAGGGACCGAGACCGTAGCGGCGGCGATGACGTAGTTGTAGGAATTCCACCCGTGTAGTGAACCGTGGATATCCGGATATCCGCTCTATGTAAGCTATGTAAGTACAGCTCTGATGGTTGTGAGCCGTGATTGCCGTGATCCTGCGATCGCCTTATGATTGAGCCCAGGATTAAAAATTGATCTGTTGGTTAGGAAAAATGTATATTTAGAAAAAAACTAATTCACGTTCACTGTTCCAAAGGTGCATCTTTTAAACCACTTATCCGATTTCTTTTTGATTATATTTAGTGTAAATTATGTTGTGACTTGAACGCCAATTTTGCACATTGGTGGCATTTCTGCATTTCTACGTGTGGTGCCGGCGCCAACGCGGCGGCGCTACGACAACTTGGTCAAGCGGAGGGAAAGGGAGGGGGTAGGTGTGATCCAAACCATGTAACACAACTAACTACCCTGGTAGCAAGGCATACGTTTTTACGAATTTTATGCCATTTTTTCCACACCACAGAAACTGATCAGAAGGGGGTGAAAGCGAGCCCCGTTCTAAACAATATCAGCTGCTAAACTCGGCGTCCAACGGCATCACTACCAACGACACTGAGTGCTTGAGTACGTCGTACACACATCGGTGCCGTCCCCGCACCACACACACCAAGTAGCAGTTTTCGTGGTTGTGACGCGAGGGAGTGTAGCCGAACGGTGCCGGGCCAACTAGTCCTTGCTATACTATTAGTGCCCTCAAACTCGGGCGCTGAGGGCGGGCCGCCGACTGCACACAGCTGCTTGGCGGGTCGGCCTACCCATCACGGTGCAGGCGCCATCGTCTGCGTCATCTCTCGGGAAACGTTCATTGTAGGGAACCTTTAACATGCTCAATGCAGCTGTGTCTTGGGGGGTTGAAATCCTCCAGCAGAGCATGACCGCATAGTGGTCACGCCGTCACGCCGCACTGAACGTGTCAATCGCGTGCAGTGTGGTCACTATTGTACAATGTACAGGATGCAAGGTTGCAAAACTTGAACGGGTTAGACGCGAGGGCCGCCCAATTAGGTTCGAGCGTGCACACTGGCCGCCTAGAAAACAAGGAAGGCCGAGGAAGACCACAAAAAACAGCCCAAGAAATCTTTGAAAACCAAGACAATACGAGGAAGGGAAGACCAATAACTGCGTTGAAAGCGTTGCGACACAAAAGTGCCACAGCTGGGAATAGTGCAAGTAATAAATGAACCTGCACGACGAAAAACGGCGACCGCGCAAGCAGCACTCGATCATAGCGTGCAGGCCATTTACAAGTTCCCGGAGAAACACCTGCCGAGATAATGTCTCAACTGAACAGAAAAACCGAACTACCGCCTCCACTTTAGTAAAACACCCAGCTAGCGGGTCGGCGCGCTGGCCGTTGGCGTGGCGGCGCGCCCGTGCGGCGGCGGGGCAGGCCAAGTCCATCTGGCGGGAGCCTGACCCGCTCCGACCCGTCAAACCCTCGCGATAACGCAAAGTGGTGGAATGCCACGCCACGCCACGCCGCCCCGCTATTAGCGGGGCCTTGGCGCCCCTAATAACTCACAACAAACAAACACAGAGTTTCACTAGTTTTCATGATTTCGCTCTCAATGCTTGGTACATTTGGCGGGCCCGGGGCCTCTCGCCCGCCCCCGGGTCGTGTACCCACGCGCCGCGCCCCCCAGATCCTTTCCCACTCCACGCCCAGAAGTTGCCAAAGTTTGAAAGTGGACTGACGTGACCGCCGCCGCCGTGCCGTCGCGGACATGCATAATGGTTCAGTCCCCGACCACGCTCGACACGCGCGGTAAGGTCTCCAGTAAGTGGTGACAGCAAGGGATTCCGTATTACCCACCATCCGCCCAAATTTTAATGAAAGATGTCATTATGAAAGGGGAAACAACAACTTCTAACGCAAAATGTTTCATTTTAGATCTTAACTGTTCCCACCACCAGAGACGATCACCGCACAAACGCCTGTTTGACATCGCTCCGGCCGAGC